CCTGTGCTAAACCTTCGTTTGTGCCCTGACCGACATCATCAGAGCAAGAATCCATACTTTACGAAATAGAACACAAATTAAAAGAAAAGTGACTAGGGTTGCAGTTGATCACTTTTTCCCTCGATTTGGTATATTTTTGCGCTTTGGTAAAGTATGGATTCTTGCTCTGATGATGTTTGTAAAAGTAGAGACGAAAACTTAGCACAGGTTCATCGGGATGACAAAACGGTGAGCCTAGGATTTCTCGCACAATCCAACAGACTTCATTCCGCGGTGATCCTCTTTCGGGTTTCGGTGTGACCATTTCAGAAATCCATTGCAACATGGAAATTCATGTCAAAAAATTACGTTTATTTGAGCAACATGTTCACTCAGGAAGCCCAGCCAGGGATGATTTCCACGTCGATTAGGCCAAAAAACGCCTCCTCTATCACCCTAAGAGATGTGGAAAAACCCACATACAGTCTTTAGAATAGCTCTGTCTTTTCGGGTGAATAACTAAAATCCCGAAAATGTGAAACTAATAGGGTTATTAGCCTTCTTTCCCAGCAGCCGAAGTCTTCAGTTGTCGCTGAAAGCTAACTGACTAGAGCTCATCTCATCCATCGATTCATCGTGGACGAGACATAATGACTAAGTCTGATTTATATGAGATCTATTTGCCCTGGTAGTAACATTTTCCCATTTACTGGTAGTCTCGAAACTCTACTTATATACTAAAATTGAGTATGATTTATTCCACTTGAGAAAAGGTCACAATGAAAAAATTAAAAATTGTTATCCATCTTTTGCGCGGGTTTCACCTTTTTGCCATTCAAAGATGCCCACTTAAGACTTCAATACAGCATAAAATGAAGACGTTTCTTTGGCGGTGTGAGAAGAGTAATCTGCTATAATCCCGCCAACAACTGATGGCCCCATTTTCGATCCGTCCAAAGTACCAAACGATTCGGTTGACTGATTCTGCTTTTGTCCTGCACTTATGCAAATAAAAGGGAATGGTGAGGGCCTCGTTGAGCTTGCGCATCATCTCGTCAATTGCCTGTAGCCTTGGGGCAATCCAAGCAACCCGGAAGGTTCCTCCCTAGCCACATGAAAGAACAGCCTCGAGCCCTCTCCCACACGCTCGGCTTAAGGCGTATCAGTTGCGAATTTTGTTCAGGCTTCCTACTTGAGACTGTGGGTCTGAAACAGCCCACTCGTGACATTTCGGGAGTTAGCCTAAATGCCTTGAAGGTGAAGAGTCAATCGAGTATCCACCAACTCTTTGGAATGGGAATTTTTCCTATTCAACTCAAGTGGAGCCATCTTGAAGCAAAGAAGCAGTAAAAGGCTCCGTTTCCGCCAAAAAACAACGCTTTTGTAGATATATGGGCTAGCAGAAGGCCAGAAAATAGCCTGGCATGGTGGAATTGTGACGTGTAAAAAACGACACTAACCAATGTCGACTGTAACTCAACGAAGAACTAAAGTTGTTGTTAAGCTATACTGTCAAATCGATACTCACAACTGGAATGTAATCCTCCTTCAGTTCAGGAAAAGGCCATCGCCAATCTCAGATGAGATGAAAGGTTAAATAATGTGAAGGTGTGAGGGAAGTCTTGGAAACTCTCTTGCTATTTATTTGCACCAACAATAAATTCCTACTTTCACTGTTCTCCTTTGAAGTTCAAGATCAGAAGGCAGGTTCTGTCGAAAATGTGGAGAGTCTCTGCCGGTTAGCCCAACATTGCATATTGTCTGCCATGTGCTTGATGCATTTTGAGGCTGAAAACGTGCCTTACTTGTCAGAAGGCATGGTGAGAAAGTCTGTATCAAGGCTTGAGAGGCGTATCCGCTGCCAGATTGTCCTCGAGGCTTCAGATCTCGACGCCGCAAAGTAATACACGCAGCATCTCAAACCCTCGCCACTCTGGCCATCAAGCGTGATCCAGATCACGCCAGTCCGGCCGGTGTTGCTAGGGTGTTTGGCCATTTTGTATTGCCCATTCTCCTGCTAAGCACCAACTATGTTGAAATGCGCATTCCATAGCTAATGGCGGCAGGTTGGGTAGATGAACTTCACGTTTGGTCCTTCATGGCGTTTGTCGCAGATTGTAGGCATAGTAAAAGTATATGTATATATAGAAATACATGTACAAGTAGTAGTATTGTTAAATGTTGTTAGTGCAATAGTAGTAGTAGTAGTAGTAGTAGTAGTGGTATTATTGGTATTAGTATAGCTTTTGGTAATGGGGGAAATGGAAGTAGAAGTGTAAGTGGAAGCAGAAGTTTAAGTATTAGCTGTCGCTATAGCCGTATCTATAGCAGGATTCTTATTATTAGTAATAAAGCAGAATCAAAAATACAATTAATAGTAAAAGTTGAAGTTGAATTAGGGATAGTATTAGTAATAATGGTTGTTGCGGTTGTTATTGTTATTGTGGGAGTAATCATAGCAGTAGTAGTAATAGTAGAACTGGTAAAAGTAGTAAAATAGTGTCAATGGCCTTCTTAGGGCAAACAAATAGCAAAGATAATCGCTTACTACGTACGGAATTCCCTTTTTTGAGAACATATACAAAAAAATGTGTTTAACTGACAAGTTGGCAAGGCAGTCGGAGTCCGTTCAGGCAAAAAAAACCATGCTTCCCTCGTTTCGTTGGCGCCTGAATGCGGTTCGTCTAGAGAAGTCTACAACTTGCATTGCAGCTAACTACGTCTATTGATTTGGGTATTATAGAATTTTGGCCATGATCAGTGCATATTGTCTCGAGGTGTTCGTCCATTCGCTTCGCATTGCTGTAGCTGTGGCGGTAGCGATATGGAAAGTCGGGAGTTTTTTGGTTGCATAGCCCTCTCGGGCTGGTGCGTGCAAATTCGAGATTTCGATACGTTTGGCGATGGTAAGGCACTTTTTTAAAGGAGTATCATCCCTTCTCCTCATTCGCTCCCCCTTTCCCCATCCCAACGTACATCCGCATGCAGGCGTGTGAACCGCGTACGCCAGTTACCGATGCAGACACTTGAGTGTGAATCACCCCGTCCTTTTTCATTCCGCCCTACCTCACTCTCCCCCCTCCTTACTCACCCCCGCCCCATCAACTGGCCACAAGGTCTCGAACTGCGTTATTTAGGCGTTACAAGGACAAGTCTCCGTGAGACACAAAAGTGGATCAAAACCGTCTACGATTAACAGTTTACAGTGTGGGAAGGAGAGGAAGTTGATGTCTGTGAGTAATCAAAGTGGTTGCATTATCTCTTCCCCGTTTATTGCCGATGGATACGGTCAATTCAGAGTTTTAAAAATTAACCATATAGTTTTCATTCTCCAGGACCTACGCGGCAAAGAGGGTTGCACAAATCACTAGTTCCTGTTTTCAAAAGACATCCTATGTGGCAATCCCATTGTGAATACGGTCCCTAAATCTATCTATCTATCTATCTACAAATCTACATATCCATCACTCTATTTATATATTCATTTATCTATCTGCTCCATGTATATATGCTATAGGCACACTCGCTTCACCCTTTTCCTCTCCCTCTTCATCACGTAATCATACAAGTCGATAATGGTAGTAAAGAGGAGATGGTCCCTGGAGTAACCAGTGCAGTTATGGGACACATTTTCACCCCGACGGGATGCATGACCTTGTGTAAATGACCCTGTTTTATGGGAGTTCTGTGTCCCTTTGCTCAGCCAACGCATTCATATTCCCAGGTTTTGGATGTCTATCCCATTCAGTCCTGGTGTCTATTGAATTGTCCCGTTATCTGCAAGCCGAGGAGGATTGTCTTCACGACCTATCAATTGGGCTGGGTAGTTGACTTTTCGGATGGTCATCGTTCACGTCACGTCATCCCAAACGCCGACTTCATGCCCTCGCGGTATCCTCTACTTGCTTCCGAACCTAGTGGCCGCCTACACAGTTTTCCGCCGCGTCATTATAGGCCGCAAGAGGGGATGGAGTGAAAGGGGGGACAGGAAGCGGCGCAAAGTGACATAATATTTACTAATAAAATCAAATGTCTTATTTAGCTCCTCACCACGTTCACTTAATCTACATCTTCGCTTCTCGGATATGTGGTCTAGCATTCAGGTTATCAGGCTCTCAGGAATCCCACATAAGTCATATTGCAATAATCTCAAGATCTGTAGCCAGACCCCAGGAAAACGAGAGAATATTTTTCGTTTATAAGTAGGTTTACCAGAATACCCAATAGATCATTTATGTGTTTTCAACCTATTTTGTGTAAGGTTGAATAAGATTTACACGAGGTCAAAATTGCAGACTACCCTTTTGGAAGCAAGGCTGTGTTAAATTCAGTGAAAACGTAAGGCCTATTCACATCATTGAGAGTGAATACACCTCAAATAGGAGGATTTTTTGGTGGAGACTGATGATTCTTATGAAAGAAGAGCTCCACCTGAATACGACAAATGATTCCGGTTGTTCTTGTCTTAGTGGTAACGTGAGACTCTGATGATGTTCAGTCTGTTGTCAACCGAAACGAGGGAGAATGTCACGTGGACTGTATTAGCCTAAGCCAAACGGATCTAGTAAAACGGAAATCAGCCGTCTTCTTCCAAGCAACTTGCGAATTGTTAAATCCTTCACTTTCATACAACAATCCTATCGCGGGAGATTAATTGAAACCCACTTTTTCTTCATATTACAAAAATTGGATATTAAGCCTTACCTTTGGCATCAATTTTCGTTTAGAAATGGCATTTATGAGCATTTATTTTAGCTTTGCTTATAATTTAATTTGTAAATTAAGTATGAGCAGAATTACCTTAGCGAGCAAGGCCGAATTGACGGCTCAGGATATACATGAGAGTGTTTAATTTGAAGCCAATAATCTGTCCGATTAGAGGTGGATCTCGGACAGACTAGTACTCCTCTTACAGTCTCCCAGTTTATATTGATTTAGGTACTTCAAGTGATCAAATGCATCCAGGCGTATGCCATTAAAAGGTATAGAAGTACTTTAAAAGGTCGGCTTGTCTACACTTTTCAGGGTCTGAGATGATTGAAGGAGTGCTTCGTATGGGCTCATGTGTGACTTAAATCATTTCCTCGTGCTCAGAGTCACGTCGGGAATGAGAAGAGTAGTGGAGAATGTGTTCTATACTTGAACCAGCACAGTAGTAGCGACTCATACTTACTCAGAAGAAGGACTTTTAGCAAAAAGTATGTTTCATAATGTTGTTGCCTTGATTTTATTTTAAAAGGTGAATACAAATGATTCTT